TTCAAATGCCTTTCAGCTGAAGACAGTTTTTTCATTTTCTAGACCTTTTAACTATAAATAAAGTTTAAAGCAAAGTCCAAAGAATAAATATTTGAATTAAAAGATTTTTGTTAAATGAGAAAGAAATAAACCACTGCAGCAGCACTTATCCTATACCACCGGGTGACCCGATTCCTATATCGGGTGCAAACAATCTAAAGCATATTATTTAGATTTTTAAGCCTAATGATTTCCATATTAAAGATTATTTTATATTATCTACAACATGAGAGGAAATTACTACTTAAAACATTCTTTCTAAGAGAATTAATGTAAACATTTATATTTTATATATATTTTAGAAAGCTGGAACATGACCCAAACTGTCAACGTTCTGTTTGCTTAAAAACATCGTCAAAATAAACATCAAACAAACTTTCTCAGTTTTAGCCCATTCACTTTAAATGCAGCTGAAGTAAAGTAGCAGACAATAATATGGTAAAGATAAAAACTTACTCTTAAAAATGTTTAAAAAAAAGAAGGAAAAAGAAATTAAAAAAAAAAGTTAAAAATTTGAATATCATCATCAATAATTTAAAAAAATATCTTTTCATATAGTATTAATAACTATTTATTATGCATCAGTCAGGGAAAAAATTTCATATAACTAATTTTCCATAAAAATTTATTTGAAATTTAAGGCTAAAAATAGCTGTGGCAATTCACTGTAGCAAAATCGATAAACCACATTTCGCGTTATTATTGCTTAAAAAAAAAAAAAAAAAAAAGATGTCAAATTTCAAAACGCAAAAATATGTAAATTTATGTATATCTTAGAAAATTTTGAATAACAAACTAATTTTTTGCAGGTATCTTTAGAAATGCACCTACTTTAAGATGATGGTAAAAAATTTTATAGGTTATACTATCACTTTTTCTTGCGAAAAATTTATAATTTTTGGAAAAAATTTTTTAAAAGTTATTTAAAATAAATAATAAAATATGGGTGAATTTTATTTGGAATGAACCTAAATTTCGAAATGTGAAAGGAAGAATAAACATAGTTTAATAAAATAGCAGATATTAATAAATATATACCAAATTCAATTAACATTGAGGAACTAAAATTTTGAAAGCTAATTTTTTTTAAAACTACTGTGCGATTTTTTGCAAAACTTGGCAGTCTGGCATAATTTAAGACGTAGAATCGAAATATGGAAAAAATTCCGTTTGTTATTTCAGAAAAAGTCCGATTTTGTGTAAAAATACCTATGTTAGAATAAAGCTATATATAAATTTAATATATATCCTAAGTCATGCTTTCGAGACATGAAAAACGCAATTTAAATTTCGTCAATCGGCCCAGTAGAACAGGATATATAGAACTCTCCCCCCCCCACAGTGTACATTTTTAATTTCCATTTCAGTTTCTTAAAATAACGTGCAGAATTTTAAGATAGCTGTTTCACTGTTATGAATTTCGGTAACTATATGACACTACATTGTTCATAGAGCAAAATTTCCAATTAGTAAAATATTTATTATACTTTAATGAGGTTCAAGTAAAATAATCTCTAATTTTATGCATGAAAGTGGCATCTACCTAACAGTGAATCTGATGACTCGGATAATTTTCCCATGTCTATTATCCCACACACAATAAATAAATAAATAAATAAAAAACAGCAATAGTTAGAGAAAAACTTATCTTTCCTACACTCGATGGTTTCAGCTTCAATAAAATAAGTAAGCTGTACACTTGAAAGTATTAGTACACTCATGGTTAATGAAATCTCAAGCAAATAGATGAAGTAGCATGCTACTTTCATGTGAAGTATTCTGCATATACTATTAAATAGCGTTAAGCACAACAAACTCACAATGACAATCATCAATATACATCAGATAGCTCCAAAGTATAGTAAAGATCACAACAAGGGACTGTGGGATCTAATTCACATTCTCCTAGACCATCAGTATTTCACATATCGCTACTAGAGCAGTTTGGCTGTTATAAGAACTATGGGCCTAGTATGTATGCATTACACAGCAGTTCAGTGCACTATACAAATACATGTAGCAGGTTGTATTCTTACAAACCTTTCCTAGATATTCCACAGAAGTTAAACTGCAACCATAACATCAAATGTTGATGGCTCTATTCTGCAGCATTGTCAATCCAAAACAATATGAAATGCTACAATATACGATATTAAACAATGAAAGCTATTTCATTTCAGGAATGACCTGTTACTACATCCACATGCATAGATTTTCTGGCCAGTAGTAGAATTTCAACCTTCTTATCAAGCAGCACATTTCTCTCACGGCAGTTTTATCTTCTGAGACGCCAAAACTTAATAACAGCCAAACTGTTCTAGTAGTGATGCATGAAATACTGAGGATGTGAATTAGATCCAACAGTAGTCCCTTGTTGCAATATTCCAGCTAGATAATAACTGGTTACACATGTTTACAGAGGAATGCATACATCATGAACAAACACTTTCATGGTTTCAACACTACCAACACTAGACACAAATATTAAGTTGAGCATTTATAGAACTGACGAAATAAAAGGTAAGCTACTACACAAACAAGTAAAAGATTTGGAACACATCACACAAGTGTAGGCCTGTTGCAAGACAATATCAAGTGCCCGTTCAAACTTCTAGCTGGGCTGAACTGCAACATGTACTGTAACACACAAGCCATTGTGACACACTACTGAAGATGACTGGATTATTGAGTTACAGATCTCTCTATCTGCAACTGTTCTGTTTCTCTGTTTTGTGGATCATTCATGCATATCATTGAAACAAATTCAGATCTATTTGATACATCTTTTTGAGCTATTTCACTAACTATTAAGTATATCTTAAATATATTTATAGCTATTTTACATGCAAAGAAATGCATCTCTCCCCTTTGTTTTTAATCATAGACCATAATGATTATTTTATAAAATGAATTTTTAGCTCTATGGTAGTCATATAAAAAATTATAGAATACTCTCACCTGCAATATTTAAAAAACTTAAAATTCTCTATCTTACTCTAAGAAACTTCATAATTGGAAATAAGAATATCAAAAACTGAAAATAACGCAAAGTAGGCTTAATTCTTTTTTCCCCTGATAAAACTGATAAATATTACGATGCTTTCTCTATAGGAATGCATTACTTAGTATAATCTCCGTTATCGGTACTGCATTAGAGTTAGCATAACTCGAAACTTCAAATAACTGTTACAAAAATTCATGCTTCTAACCAGTTGTCAACTGTCCAGGTACCTCTTCTGCAAACTACTATTTTTTTTTCTTGTTAATGTGAGCGCCTGGATAAAATTATTCGCATCTGCCCTCACCAGGTCACACCTTTATGCCATGTGATTGTGCCTTTGGCAACATCGAAAAAAGAAGAGTTCCTACTGAGAAAGTAGAAAGAATTTTTCCATTAAGTGAATATACTCACATTACAGAAAAGATCGGTAAAGAAGTTTTTGCAAATGAAGTTACTCAGAGAATGATTTTCAATTTTGTTGACTGATTAAAAGGTTTCTTCCTGAAAACTCCTAATATCATTTCTAACTGTAACAAAAGGTGGTGTGGTGTATTTAATTATGGCAAAGCACACTAGGGCTATCTGCCTAAGAGGAGGGATGCCTTCATGGAGGACTTTCTAAGGGAAACTGGCTCGTATACACGTTACACATGGGGAAAACCACGAAAACGCCCATGCAGCCAGCCCGTTTGCGGGATTCGAAACCTCGACCGAACTACCAGTGTTCAGTGACTTTACCACTCGGCCGCTGGTGGGCTCTAACTGTAACAAAATGAAAAAGTTCATAATGAAATGATGATTTTTCACTTTTAAAGATGGACTACAGCTAGACAATGCGCCAGATGCAACAGAATCTGAATATAATGGTTGAAATCATAGCTGTATTTTCTTTAAATAAAATATTATAATAGTAGATTCCCCCCCCCAGAAGTAGAGAGAATATCCATTTTGTGACAAGAAAGAGGTAGTTTTAACGATCATACTAGTGCCATATCAACTGGAAAATATATTTTTGGGTAAAAATACTCTATTTAAGAATAATTAAGAAAATTCTCCTCCCCCCCACCCAAAAAAACTTGCCATAACTTTTTTGTTGTCAGTCACAGGAGGGGGGGAAAAAAACCTATTGTTGGATTTGATAAATATTGAAAAAATCAGAAGCAACAAAACTAGAAATTTTACAACAGACATATGCACAAATACTACATTCACTTTAAATATATCACTGATTGTTTTGTATACAAAACTAAAATGTATAGAAAAACCTTATAGTTGTTTGCTTTAAAAAAACTTTATGCCGTATAACAGTTGTCTGCTTTAAAAAGATTTTATGTTGCACAATAGCTGTCTGCTATAAGAAGACTATGCTGCATGCTTCAAAACGCCATCTACAGAGGAATCGCACCCATTAACAAATTCCTTCAACTGAAAATATCCAAAGAATGAAGAGATGGATCAGATCTCTATACATAAATCCTTCATAAAATGTGAGAGACTACTTTGGAAGACCAGTTGCTGGATGATAGCCATCACACACAACACTTCATGAATTATAGCTGGAACGTCTTGAAAAATAATTTCACTCTATGAAATATGATAAAAGGCCTGATTATGAGTATGCCCTATTGTTGCTACTTCTGTTTATCTCTAAGGAAGTCGTCCTACGCTACATGAAATGTATTTCTTCATGCAGATTTCCAATGCAGAAAATACTCTGTATTTTGTTTACATAAATAATATGAAAGTTCATCAAATTTGTTTGATCTAGTTTTTTGCATCACTATTCATTGTGTATCTCTGTATGAGCCTATTTTGTTATATTTTGTTGAATAAGCACTTTCTTCCTTAAAAATTCACCTTTCAGACTATAGTTTCAGACACTGTATGCAAATTCAAATGAAAGATATACTCAAGAATAAACAATACCACATTGGTTATTCAGTTTAAAGAATATACATACCTCCCTTCATCCTTCTGAGCAGAAAGCTTACGAACTTGACGATCCATGAGACTGGTACGTGCTCTGGCCTTTTTCCAGAGGTAGTAATATTTTATTAAACTTGCAAGAGACTTGTCAGGCAACTATATAAAAAAAACATTAAACAAATGTAAAATGAAAAAAAAATTATTATATATTTTAGGAATTTTTCTATTATATTCTTAAGATGGTAACTGGCACAGAAATATAGGGTGCAGCAGAAAGAACTCCCTGATTTAAGAAGCTTATAAGTCCAAATAAATAGGATATGAAGATTTTCTCTTTGTTCTTTGAAAGTACACATAATGACCATTTTACATCAATACTTAAAAAAAAAAAAAAAAAAAAAATCACTTAGATGGTGGCCTCCATTGTTTATGCACTGATTGAAGCTTTCTTAATAGTTGCCTATGACTTTGAGAGTGATTTCGGATGTAATGTTAGCAACTTCCTCTTGTATTACCTCCTTCACAGCTGCTAAAGTTGAATACCCAATAGCAAATGGTTTACTTGTTGCAAACAGGGTCTTGTCGACCAAGCGTGATATGATTGCAAAGGGCATGCTGCAATGCTATCGGTGACCCATCATAATATAAGGATAAGCTGCTGTACAGCGAAAGCGTAATGTTCTCCTGACCAATTTATGTTTCACTTTGAAATAGAATGTAATTCACTATTCAGTGATACTCTCCCTGTCACCGTACACTCTCCCAAACCATAGCTGAGATCCTCCTAAGTCAGGGAGTTCTTTCTGCTACATCCTGCATGTTTATTACCTAACGTCCAACATGTCACTTATACAAGTGAAAAAAATCTGATCACTATCCAAAATTCATTTTATTGATATACACTGCCATAAAAATTTTGAAAAAATATCACCTACTTACAGTGACACAAGAATTTATCATTAAACAGCTATCTAAAATCCCTCCCCACTTTATAACTGAAAATACAAATTTAACAAATTGAGATTCTAATACAACTAGATAATATGTTAAAGCACTTAAAATGAATTTTAAAAATCCCTGCATTTTCAAAAAATTTGCAAAACCATGCTTTTAAACCTAATTTTGTACTTTTCTGGCCAAATGGCTAAAATATATATATAAATCCAGGTATATAATTCAGTCAATCATTTAATACTTTCCACAATGAACATGCACTCTAAATGCTGATGTGTAAAAACAGATAAAATACTAGAATAATGGCAAAATAATAAGCCTAGGTTAAATAGAAGAAATAATAAGCCTAGGTTAAATAGAAGCAACACCATAATTTTGCAGCTCACAAAAATTTTATAAAAATATAGCCATTCTCTTCACGCAATTAAATACTGCTGTAATTAAATTTTCTGCAATATAAATTTACTTTAAAAATTATTCCTCTTTAAAATTTATTTTGATTTAGTAAACATGTTTAAGGAAAAAGTAGATTTTTTAAATTTCAGGATATTTTAACCTAATTACAAAATTATTAAACTTTCTTTATTTCATTATAATAATAAATAAAGAGAAATTAACTTAAAACTGAAATGAAAGATAATGCAGGTAAACCTAATAAGTTGCAATTAAACTGAATAAGTTATTGTTAAGCACATGAATTTAAATACATGTTTTATATTCCACTCACATGTGAAATTCTGCTAACACTTGCATGAGCATGCCCCAAAGGGGAAAAAAAAAAGCTTTGTTTACTTTCATACTATATTAATGAGCATCTGCATTCTCAGTTATTCCCATACTGAAATATGTCTGCTTAATATGAACTAAAATATCCCGTAATGAAATATCATTTAGGTCAGATATGCCATTTTGAGTATATATTTTATATATATATATATATTCTCTGATGCCTCAGCATACAAGTTGAATTTGTTCCATGAGTGAGCTTGTCACTTACATTCCAAAAAGTTTTTTCCTACTTAAATACCATTTAATCCATTCCAGGCCTTCAAATAATTACCTCAGTTATTTTGGCCCCCTTAATTAAGAAAAAATGTCTTCTATTGTACAATAAACTAATAAAAATTTTTCACACATAATACAAAATACAAAGTAGAAAAGTGAATATAAAGAAATACATTGATTTTATAAAGCTTAATGATTATACTCTACTTCCGTACCTTTATATTTTTTACTGATTTTTGGTAGCTTTTTCTCTATTATTCCCCCATTTTCATTTAAAAGGTGTTTCAGTAGAAACTTGTCCAAGTAAAGAATGTTTCTAAAATGTATTAACAAAATTCAATGAGAAAGACTGTTGTACAAAATGCTGCAATTTTTTCTGGGTACCATTTTTTTCAATGAATTGAACCTATTACTATACCCTTTATTTCAGCTGGACATATAATTTCCTCCTTGTCATGAATTTCCTTTCAGCCTTTTTTATGCTTCTAGATGTGTAATTCACTTAACTCCTCAACTTACTCTGTGTGATCATTTAGGTCTCCTTTATCCTCCTGCAGACCTATGGCCCTTTTGAGTCAGACATCTCCTCCAGCAATCTCTTTATAGGTTGGAGTTCGAATCCTTCAAAATTCTTTTCAGACACAGCTTCTTCCATGCAGAATTTAAAATTCTCCTTCCTACATCCTGACAGGACATATCAATAATTCTTATTCCTATTGCACTATTAAAATGGTCTTTACAGAACTTGCGAATGGTGAGCTTGGTACTTTTCTTCTAATTAAAACAGCACTGAAACCGATGTTTGGTGAAGAGATTTTAAAATTGAAACCACTTCCTAGTGTTAGGATAGGAGTGGCATTGAATAGAAAAATAGGTTGAGAGAAAAATGACTCTTTGAAAATGTCTTCTTCGAGGTTCAGTGCATGCGCAGGAGAATCGTCGAGTACAGGAAGGGCTTCTAAGAGTGGGCTACTTTTCTCCACACACTTTTTAACACCAGATCCAAAGATCAGGCTAATCCACTCTCCAAAAAAATGCCTGGTGATCTACGCTTTCAGGTTCTCCTTCCACATAACCTGGAGAACTTATCTTCCACATATTTTATAATTTGATAGGCCTTGAATACTCTTTTTGTACGACATATTGTCAGCGACTTTTATTTTTTAGCTGCCACTCATCCACACTGAGTACAAGGGTTAATCTATTCTTTCACGAGATTGTGGCTCCGCACTTTTGTATCCTCTTCCATAAACTAACGACCAAGGAGTTAAATGAACTACACATAATGGAGCATAAAAAAGTTTTGGAAGAAATTAATAATTCCACAACAGCTTTGTTCTGTCACAGTTGAAGACTTGCTGTAGGATGAATCTGTCTGCTGTTTTTTCAGTTGTCTGAACTCGCTACTTATCCCTGCCTAATAACATTAGTAGTGAATAATTACTAATGGTGAATTAATAATGAATTTCAGTTCATCTTTTGAACTTTTCAAACCAGTTACGATTTACCTTCTTATTCAATATTTGAAGAACAAAGGGATGTCATTAGCAAACTGAAGTATATAACTTATGCATTCTTGCAAATAGTTGTCTCAGTCGTGGTGACTCCTTTGAGAAGATTTTCCTTTAGCCATATTAACACTAGCTTTTAGATCAATGCTCCTCTTTCACCAGCTCCCCTTTCACCACTGCTAAACGAACATTTACTCCTTTTCCAAAACTCAAAAATACTTATTTTTAGAAAAAGTACAGAAAATGTTGATATATACCCAAACTTGAATAACAGCAGTTTTTTATAATTCATAAACTGAAACTACATACATAAGAGATAAATAAAGACTGACCAAATTCCCCTCCTCCCTGTTGACAACCTCTAGATCTTTCATTACAGAAGTCTCACTATTTTGGTATCGCTGTAATGCCCTTGGCGGATGCCATAGTTTTTATGGTCTTCTGCTTCAATAGCATACATATGATTGAAGTACCATGCTCTTACTGCTTGGCTGTAGTAGACTGCATGCACTCCTCCCTCATGTTTATCAATGACTTCATGCTTTAATTCTAAGGGCATCGTCTTGCTTCTTCACATTATTTTTTAGGCAATATTGTTATAAATACATCTTACTAACAATTACAAACATATATTTATATTAATATTCATATTAATTATAAATAAATCTTAATGATAATATTATCACACGTTCATGAAGAATGTGAGCATGAAGTATTACACAAATGCATTTCATACAACCTAACCACATGTACTGAAAGGGTAAGCTTGCTCTTCACTTTGTTTACAGCAGCAACTAGTTGCAACATAGAGAACCTCTCACTTGGCTCATGTTCCAATTTTTACTTGTATCTAGATATATACATTTGCTTAAGACCAGCCGATATTCAGAGGTACCACTGTATTTATAATTTTATACAGAAAACTTGAGACACATGCAATAATGGGGTAATAGGATCTTTTATTTCTTGACAAAAGTTAAAAGAAAAGTGCAGCAGTAAAGAGCAAGATGGAAACGAGAAAGACTGCAATGTGACCACGATGAAAGCTTGGTGCAGAATCATTTATTTTGTTTAGTTTTATTTTGATTAGTTAATATTTAGTTCCCAAATTTCAAATCATTATTGGCTGAAATGTTAAACAAATATCTATGTCATGAGCATTATGCAAGAATCAAATGATAAGGATTAATTTTCAAATGATGCAGTTTACAGCAATTTATTATAAGCACTTCCTACTGAATGGAAAAGAAAAATAACCAAATTAAAATAGATAGTAAAGAGAATAATGTAAATTATAGTTAGCATTTTGATTTATATTTTTATATCTTAGACACATATCTATAATAAATTCACCTTCTAATACTCAAAATGGCATATATAAGAATTGCAAAATAAGATCACTGGCTGTGGTGCTATCAGCTAATTTATTCAACACAGCCAGACTTAGCCAACAGAATGCAAGACAGCAAAAAGTGAAGTATCATTCTTAAATAGAATGTATTACCACTATTCTACAATCTAGTGGCAACCTATTTTACCTTTTGCCTAAAGTTAGGCAAAATTCAACTAATATCGATACTAGTTTTATGCAAAACAGCTTTATTTTGAATTTTTCCTTAAAATCAACCTAAATTACAAGCTAACCTCTCCCTAAAATATTATTTCAAATTAATAAGTATGCTATCACAAGCTCATATGTAACTGGTGCTCTAACAATGAATTTTTATAATACTTACAATGAAAAATGCTGTGCTGGTTACGAATCCCTAATTATGTGCTACAACTAAAGGAAATCTTATTATCATCATCAGATAGGCCAAAATAAACCGAACCCAACGCTAGTGAAGTCTGCCATGTCTGGTTTAGTTTATCTTGGACCACTCTGTATTATTTTAATTCATTACATTCCAGCTTACTATAATCTGCCTGTGACAATGTCTAATAAATCAATTCATGCTCAACATTATGCTGCTCTTTAGATTCATAGTAATGTAGTTTTAAAATCATTTAGGCAATTAAAACCAACTGCTCAGGATATAATAAATGAAATTATAATCTTTCTTTGTATGGAATCTTTCTTTTTCTTTAATTTATTTGTTTATAAATTAAATAGAGATGAAAAGCAAATGCCAAAAACCACTGCAATCTTCTTTAATGACAAAGTATCCTACAAGCAATCTTCATAGATAAATTCCAAATAAAATTTGGCCTATACTTACAGTACACATGGAAAAACTGCTAAGAATGGAATGTGGGCGCATTTACCAATATTTCATAATTTTAGCCCCTTAACATTAGTCAGTTTAGTGAATTCATAGTTTCAAATCGCATATAAAATCAGATTCGCGCTACAGAATCAGTTGAAAAATGACATTTTCAGTCATTTCACTTGCTGCATTAACTTTATAATGTTAATATCAGATAAAAGAGCATTAAAATAAACCATATTTTATATGAAACAAAAAGAAGCATGGAAAACGAAAATTTACTCAAATTATACATATTTATACTGTTTCCGAACTTGATAAAGAGACATGATCGAAACAAATAAATAAGACCAAGTAAAATACTAGCCACAAATGTTTATTTATATCAATAACAAATACAAAAGGTTGCACATTTACCATCTGACGAATTCTATTAAAACTTTTTCCATGAAACTGGAAACCTTGCTCAAAAAGAACTTTATCTTCAACAGTCCATTCATCAGGAAGTGGAGTATAATTTTGCAAGTCAGCTGTAGCTTTCTCAATATCATATTTATGCCAGAACAGCATACCTAGAGCCTTAAAAACACACCAAATTTAGTAAAAATTTAATTAATAAGCTTTGTAGAATATTTCTAAAAGAATAAGAAAATCTATACCTGTTCAACATTGTACCCACTCTTCTCTTTTGCTTCATTTATATATTTATCTACTATAAGGAAAAGAAAATAATAAGTACCTAGTTTTAAAATTTTCAGTGACTTTTGGGCAAATATACAATTTTTTTAATATTGGAGAAGTTTGGTTACTAAATTTAGTTGCAAATAGCTCATTGATTTTTCAGATGTTAATGATTATATTTTTATTATTTATTATTTTTTGTTATTTATTATCACTATTACTACTGATTAAAATTTACAACCTGCTTGTTTTATGATCTTTAATAATAAATTTTGAACTTTTGTTATAAAAAATGGATAATTTTGCATTACATTACAGGTCACTGAATATTTTGAATGAAATATTTTAGTTAGTTTGATAATTTGCATGGAATACAAACTTATACACTAGTTATACATATTTATTCTATAAATTTTCTTTGTACAATGTACTTTCAGAGTTAAAAAAATATCCATGCACTTCAAAACATTTCTAGACAATCTCAAAACTTAATATCCAAATATCTTTTAACCAGGCATGCAAGTGACAGAACTGCACAGTGAATGAATGCACATTCAGATGAAAAAGCTACTATATCAAAAAATTCAGATGAAAAAGTACATTATTCAGTTGCTGTATCATATTCTGATTGCTTATCCAACAACACAGTTTACCTCAAGACCCACCCAATAATGGTACAATCAAGTCAGTTCAACAGAGGTCATTTTCAAAATGTATTATGTTTGTACAGATGCTATGCCAAACAAAATAATCAAAGTAATAACAATTAATACTTTGTTAGTGGTTTCAATGGGGTGCCCATAACCATCACGACTATTCTACAATTTATCATTTGCATACTTATTTACTCTGAATAACTTTACTGCAAGGATATGTTATTGCAAGTCCTGCCATAAATACAATGACGGCTTTGATTCTATTGCAACATCTACCACCAAATCCTACCCATTAATAACTAAGCTTACCCTGACTTCGCAGCCATGAAGCTGCAGTTATCTCATGTTGAAAAACAAATCACAATTTGCTGTGTTGCGAGGTCTTAAAAATTCATATGAGGCCTGGCCACTACTCCTCTTTCATGCCATTTTGGAGAGGCATATATTCATGAAACTCGAAATAATCATTTGGGGATACACCATCTACGATATCAAGTCTTATTCATTGATTTTTACAGCATTTTCATTGTTATAACAGTATTAAAATACTGCACAGCTAATACTTAAATTTTAATACTGACAACATTTTACCTTTGAGCAAGATCATGCACACCTGTACATGGCAAATATCCACATAGTGTCACAACCCTCCCTTGGTCCTTCAGATGTCAAGACTTTTCCTAATCAAGCATATGGGCAACGCAAGGGTGTTGACTATAGCCATCTTGTAACATATATCAATTTGTTGAGGAATTCACAGCTCAGCAATCTATAATTGTGCAAGTCCATGCCAATTTGAACATTCTTATGTACTGTCATCAGAGATGGATATGCCTTATGGATATGTAATGGTTTGAGATCCCTGTTTGCTGAACATGAAACTGAAATAGACTTGTTGCTATTCAAATTTAATTACTTCTTTATCAATGATTCTTTACTGTTCACAACAACTTTAACCATGATCGAATAATATTTATAGATCCACATTAAAAAGTTATAATAATTTTATTATGTTTTATTGCAAAAATAGAAAGATATCTTCAACATGTGACAGTAATATTAATAATAATTAAAATAAAAAATTCTTAAAATAGGAGCACTGTATTAGAAGCAAAATAATGAAATAATTATAGCAATGGATAATTCCCTAAATAAAGAAGGCAGATTAAGCTTTCTGAGTGTGTGTGATTATGGCAAAGCTTTGAGGGCTATCTGCCTAAAGGGAGGGATGCCTTCGTGGAGGACCTTTCTAAGGGAAACTGGCTCATATACACGTTACACATGGGGAAAACCACGAAAACGCCCATGCAGCCAGCCCATTTGGGGGATTCGAACCTCAGACCGAACTACCAGTGTTCAGCGACTTTACCGCTCAGCCGCTGGTTGGCCCTAAGCTTTCTGAAGGCTTAGATAGCTTCTCCCAAGTCTTAATGTATTTTATATTTATGTATAGAGCAAAATTGCTTTTCAGCCTTAGCTTTTATTCTGCTTTAAAATTAAGCTATTACGTAAACTAAGTCTGATGCTTGACGTCAATACTATTACCTTATTTCTTTAAAAACAATATTTTTCAAAAATGGTACATTGCTATAAAAAAACTGCTCCCATAATATTAAAAAATTTCATATTATAATTATATTACTACTTTGAACACTTGTGCATCACTAATTTAATCTTCTAGCACTTATTTTTACTTATTTTTAATAAGCAGAACTAGAAAGATTATAAAATACTTACGTTTTTCATCATCTATATTTGGAGATGGCGCCCAAACAAGAAGGGCATGTTCAGTTTCATAATTGGGACATGGACCTAAAATGTTAGGAAACAGACACAATGTATACTTTCTTGAAATATCTTAATGCATCTTTTTAAATGTAACACAGTACGTGGTACCTGGCACTTATTAAATTCACTGGTTAATAAACTCAGCTGCTTATTACATCCAGATTTTCAAGAATGAAACAAATACATACTAATCAATAACTCATCTCCACCGCTTATTAAACTCAGATTCGAAAAAGACTAATTCTTCAATGTCAGAATATCTCATTCATACCTATCAAAATATGTGCATTTCAATGATTTAATGCAGGATTTCTTTAACTTTTTCCAGTCGCAACCCCTTTTTATCACCGAGATTTTCCCCTGACCCCCAGGACATTTACAAAAATTTTGTGGAACCCCATAAGTATTGTACAAATCCGATGCACGCATGAGTGAAACTGTTAATTTTTTCACTTGTACTGTAATATACTATTGCAATTTTAGATCATTAACTTTAATCTCTAATTTTAAGACATAGAACAATGTGAAAATTTTAAATAAGTAACAGACAAAATGACAGCATCACGTGCAAAGCAAGGAAAATGAATGTTTATATTATAAAAAGAATGTGTCAAAAAGCTTTCGTTTTTTTCTTTTCCTGTATTATCTTTATCTATTTTCAGATACATTGTGTAAAAATATTTGGTAATTGTAAAATTATTATAATAAGTCAAAGAAATAAAAAAATTGGTAAAATTTTTGCCGACCCTCTGCTGCGAGTCCCACGACCCCCAAGGGGGGTCATGACCCACAGTTTAAGAAACCCTGATTTATTGGGGATTATAGCTTTATCATTCAGGAGTGTAAAATTCCAATAAAACAGGTTTGACCAAAAATTTCTTACTCCCTTGGTAACTGTGAAAGTGTTTTCAGAGTTCTTTGTCCACACTGGACTTCAGAGAGGCAGGGCAGAATTTCCTTACCTTAAGGTTAATGAAAGCAATAGATACACTGCAAATGGTTGAGGGTTCTTTTCATCTTACCAGATTTAAATTGATGATCTATAATCCGGAAAAACCCGTAATGAATTTCGTAATCCGGAATCGTTGAAGTCCCGACAAGTCCGGATTACGGACTTTCTACTGTACATATGAAATTCTTCTAAGCTTTACCGTATATTCAAAATCTTTGACTAGAAAGTAAGTGGTAACTGTAGACTAAAAAGAAAGGAAAGCATTGATCATGCTTGTCATTCATGAAGAGACAGATTGACTAAACTGATAAAGGGCTTTTTGCTATCTAAGAATGTAAACTTTTAAATTTGAATAAACAGTTGAAAGAAGCAATTTAAAAAAAAAAAAAATTGTTACATGTTTAACATCTAACACATTGAAAATATCAAGTAAAGAGACTTAATCCTGAACAAAAAGGATAAATTGGTAAAAGATTGTAATGTTCTTCATAATTGCAACCTCAGAAAAACTTAAACTGTGAAAATCTCAAACATTACGCAATTTACTTAAAGAAAAAATTATAATTAATGAAGAGCTAATAAGAAAATGCAAATATCTCAAGCACATGCAATAAAAGAAAATAGACAGCTGTTGAAATAGCTTTCCTACAATTGTTTTAAGCTATGAAGCTAAGAAAAAGTTTTCATTTCCAGAGCATTTTTCGAAAATTTGATAAATGTTACACGATAATTTTATACCAATTCACATACCACTCACAAGTTGAACAAAGTGAAATCCAGCATTGTCCATCATAAACTGCATTGGTGAGGAGGAAAAAACATATCATCATGCAGCTGATAACTGGATACAAGACATTTTACTTCCACTGCTAAGTGAATATAAGCACCATGAAATTTATAATAAACAAAGGTGGACTGCATTACTGAATATTCCCTGAATATACATATTAATATTTAAAAGTGAAACGACTGATTTAAGAAACCAAAATACTGCATTAATTAACGTGTAATATGGACCCAATAATTAAGACAACAGCAAACAAGTGCTGTTGTCTTAATTATTGGGTTATTGGTTATTCAAGTAGAAAACCTTGAAGAGGAAGGAAAGAGTCAAGAATTTACAAGAAAGGAGGAAATAATTTACTTCTAACTTGCTACAGAAAAAAAAAACCAAGAACAATAAATAGCAATTTTACTAATTTCCTGGGGGGGGGGAAAAAAACATGAACAATAAATAAATAGCAATTTTACTGATTTTCTTTTTAAAACGGGACAGCAAAATAAAAAATTAAGAAATAGCTTTACCAATCAGATAAATATCTGAAAAACATTAGTATTTCTTTCTGCAAATACAACTTCTAACCTTCAAACTTTAATTTTAAGGCATTATAAAAGCTTTCAAATGTCATTACAGAAAGATGTTTAGTCAATGAGGAAGAGAACTGAATTTTATGAAAATGATAGCACTTTGAAGGAGTTAAGTAAGTTAATACTTCTGCTAAGGACCATGCATATTATAGTCAGTGCAGGAAGTTACTCTTAAAATCAATTAAAACTGTTATAAAAAAAATGTAGCTTTTATGTAGAGGAAGCTTCAAAGGAATTGTAAAGTACAAAGCTAATGTTTCAGGCATCAATAAGAGAAATTATGAAGATCCATTTTTAGAATACATTCTGTCAATTGACAACAATATTGAGAAAACATGTATAAAACTTGAGTACAGAAGCATTAAAAGAACTTCACAAAGAAACAGCAAAAGGGATATAGAAAAAAACGAGACATGCCACCATCAATCAAATCTAGAAATTAACCGAAATTCTAAAAAAAAAATTCTTGAAATGAAAAATGCTGATCAATAAAGCTGTCAAGACTTATAAAGCTTCGTTCACACAGTGGTTTTAAAATCATAAGTTGTTTAAGGAGAGCTCTGTTACTATGCAACCAGCCCATGCTACTTCAGAAAAACTGGTTTAGGGATTTTGGCTAAATGTTCTATCTTCTTAACTTTATGCCACTTGGTATAAAAGCCAACCAATCACAGTGAAGTGTAGAGTCGACAAACATCAGTCGACAGTTGTAGAGTCATTGAGTCAGCTAGACATTTAAGCAACACAACATTAAGCAACAGCATGCACAATTTTCTCTTTCCGGATTGGCTATGACTTAAACCCTGTTAAACAAGAGCGAATTAACGAAATGACTTTTATGTCTTAAACCCTCCTAAACAAGTCTGAATGACCTTAATGACTTTTATGTCTTAAGCCCCAAATTTATATGACCACAAAACCATCATCTGATGGCAAAATTTTTAGAATTTAGGTAAATTGCTGGGACTCAAAATTTAGGGAAGGGCAAAAGTTTAGAACTTAGGGACATGTTTGGTAGCAGAATTTAGGACTCGCAAAGACCACATCAGGCGGTAAGATATCTAGCATCGGCCCTCGATAAGCCTTAAGTATCTGTGAGAATTTATTTATTCAGGACTCAGATACGGCTTAAGGCACCAGAAATAGACATAAGTATAATAAATAACTAAGCTTATACAATTCAGGCTTAATTGTTTCCATGTGCAATGGAAGCAAGACAAAATTTAGTGCAATATCTTGTCTTTCATCACCAATTTCATGATACACGAAATTTATCTCCAGAACAAATTTACAATACTGATGAAACTGGTCTTTTCTTGCAATAAGGACCTTGGCAACCTCTACTGAAAAGGTTCCAATGGATGTCAAATATTCTAAAATGAGACTAACAATTTTAGCATGTGCAAATGTTGCAGGAATGGTAAACTTTTTGTAATCAGAAAAATACATTACCTCAAGCATTTAAGGGAGTAAAGATTTTTGAATTATATATCATGCAAATAAAAGAGTATGGATGACATGAGCATTAATGAATGATTGGTTTGGAAATCATTTCATACACAAGGCTTGGCAACATTTGAATTCAGGTGGTTTACCTGATGACGCAAAAGTTGTTGTGGTTTTAGACAAATGCACAGCTCATACTTTACTAGTGAAAAATAATGTATCCATATTACTCTTTCCTCCAAACTGTACGTCCCTCATCCAGCTTCTGGATATCGAACACCGTGTTTGCTGAAATAGGAATTCAAAGTAGCATTTTTAAACTCCATGTAAAATTTCTTGAATAATGTCAAGGCTTTCAAGAATTAAAAAAATATTTTAGCATAAAATCTGCTGTGTGGAGCATCGCAAGATCATGGAAGGATTTGTCTCCAGATACTTTAAAAAAGTGCTTGACATAATTTATGGCCGGCTACCTTATTTCATGGTGAGGATGAAGATGATAGCCACGAATTTGAAAGCTTTTGGATATCGCAAACCAAAGGCAAAATTTTCCATTAATGCATTTTGTAAAGAAATGTGCAGAAGTGGTAATAAATTAAGATGATATAACAGAAGTTTTTCATTGTGACGACAATGCCCCCAATCATCAGTCAATTAACAAATGGCAAAATCTGTAGTATGGTTCTAGATCCAGAAAATAACCATTACCGATAGTGAGGAAAGTGACAGACAGGTTATTGAAAACGGAAAATTTCGAATAACAAATTAGTTGGAATTCTCGACACAGCAATTACACGACTCGAACACTGGAACTTTGTAGCTGATAAAGAAATTATGCCTATCTGTAGAATTAAAGAGAAAGTATTAGCACAAAAAACGAAGCAACTTAAACAACTTACATAGAAACAAAAAGTTAAAAAGTAAATATTAAAGGTTTTTTTTTTGGTAAATTTTGATACACTTTTTAGATCATAAATGCTTTATTATTTCATAAATCATGATTTCATATTTTTAATTTTATAATTTCTAGATGCCGTCTTACTAGATTTAAACTGATAGTCTAATATTCGAAAAAATCCCAAATCCGGGATCATCAAAGTCTCGATGAGTCCGGATTTCGGATTTTGTACTGTATATATATAGAAAATGGGAAATTGCATTAAAAGTTGTTCTTCATCATTTGTCAAAAAACATATTTTTTTAAAATCTGACACTACCAAAACATGAATATTTTTCTTAGTTAAAACGCTTATATATTGTTACGTTTTTTTCTTTCTTCTGACACCAATTCGT